GGTGTGCGGTCTCGCCTTGAGCACCCCCCGCCTCCGCGACGAGGCGGAAAGCAGTGCGCAGAGCAAAGGGAAGGAGGAGCAGCTCAAGACGACGTGGCAGGAAAGGTCCTTCCCCTCAGTGAGAGATCCCACGACTGACAGTTAACGCAGCCAGGGCCAGTGTCGCAAACAAAACTGTAAACCGTGGTTTGAGAACCCTGGGAGGGTGCGCGCTTGCCCCGCGGCACCCGCACAGGAGACTGTTCCCTGCGGGACGAGGTGACAACCTGTGGGCTTTGGAAGAGGTCGGCCGTCACATTTCAGCTCCGATTTCTTTCCGGTTCGGCTATTAACGCTTTTCACAACTTGCTGCTCAGCAGCTCCAGCAGGGAGGCCCCGCAGCACATGCACGAGCTTTGAGGCCAGCCTTCACAGGAACAAACCTTTTTTCCCATTATCAGCCCGACGTCCGGCTGTTCTAGAATCACAGAATGGTTTGGGCTGGCAGGGGATCCAGTTCCAACCCCCCTGCCATGGGCAGGGACACCTTCCACTAGACCAGGTTGCTCCAAGCCTCATCCAGCCTGGCCTTGGACACTTCCAGGGATGGGGCATCCACAGCTTCTCTGGGCAACCTGTCCCAGTGCCTCCCCACCCTCTCCGGGAAGAACTTCTTCCTGATATCCAATCTAAACCTCCCTGATTTCAATCTGTACCCATTACCCCTTGTCCTGTCACTACAGACCCTTGTAAAAAGTCCTCTCCCAGCTTCCTTGTAGCCCCTTCAGGCACTGGAAAGCTGCAATGAGGTCTCCTCGGAGCCTCCTCTTCTCCAGGCTGAACAAGCCCCATTCTTCCAGCCTTTCCTCATATTTTATAGCAATTAAGGAACTGCCTCGCAGCCCTCAGACAGGAGCGCTACTCGCCTGCCCTCGTTAGGGCCGCAGGGAGCGATGCTTTGAGCTGGTACCCAACAGCACGAGGCCAGATGACCAGAAGCTTTACAGGACAGCGCATCCGCAGCCTAGCCCCTGCCTCAAGATCCAGTATCGGGATCTTCCCACTGGTATAGGCTTCCAGCACGCCAGGGTGTGGGACATCCGTGATCCCGTCTGGCAGCTGGCCGAATGTCGCACATGCGAAACTTCCGGACGGCATCACCTGGACGAGGGGGACAACAAGGCCTGGAGCCGCTATTTAAAGCTGCTGAAACGTCTGGTATGTCTGAGCCAGGGGGCAGGGACACACCCGGTGACGGACAGCGCGGACCCCGACGGGCACGGCCGTGACAGGCGGGGCGGCCGTGACAGGCGGGTCTTCACGGGCTGCCGAGTCTCACGCGAGGTTTGAACGGAGCAGGTGTAAGACCCTGTGGGGCGCACGAGCAAGGTGCAACAGGCAGCATTCCCCTACGGCTCCGTAACGGCCCCGGGGTGGGAGCTGCAGACAACCCAGCTCACTCCGCTGTCCCTCGAGCAGCCCATCGCTCTTCCCGGGGGGACTCCGCTTGCAGGCAGCGTCCAGCGGGCCCCGGGGTGCGATCGCCACCGCGGCTCAGACACGTGTCTAACCGTGGGCGGCAGTCTGCGGCGCAGAACTGGCTCCGGGCTAGGCGGACTTTGGGAACGCAACCGGAGAAGGGCCTGCTGCTCCCTGCCGCCGGGCAGCAACGAACACCCTCACACGCCTACCGCGCTCTGGCCCTCAAACCCGCAGAGACCGTCTTATGCCGATGAAGTCACGGGTAATGGGAGGTATCGAAGGAAGTGACCCAGCCATGTGCCTTACCGGAAGGCGGGCTGTCACACCGACTCTCCCCGGCAGTCTCTCCTCCCCACTGGAACCGCACTCCCGAGGCACAGCCACCCCCGGGGTTCCTGGGCACACTTCAGCCTCCTCGCCAGCACCGACATAAACACACGCAAACCCCGCGCTTCTGCTCTCGGGCCCTTTCTGCTGCCACCAAGAGCTGCCCCGCGGCAGCGACGTAGGCTGTAAAACCTTATTCCTAGCTTGGTGCCTATTTTCACAGCAGCGTGTAGAACGTGCCCCCGTTCTACATGGGGAGAAACCCCAAAAAGCTCGGTGAGGTGCTGCAAATCGCCTGCAGCCAGCAGGCCACCGGCAGACCCAGCAACCAACCCATCCCACCACCAACCACCCCACCCCCCCCCGAGCCAGCCCAGCGTCTGGGTGGTGTGGATGCGCTGCTGGCCTTCCAGCGGGACCCTCGGCCTGGAGAAGGCAAGAGCGTCCCGTCACCTCTCGAGCAGTTTGCTGAGCGCGGCCCCGAAGGGCCCGGCGGTTGCAGGTCGTAAAACACGGCGCACAGGCGAGCTCTTGGCGTGACAGCAGCGAAGCCAAGGAGTGTCCCGGAGGACTTCTCGTGTCTCCTCCCCTCCAACTCCAGACACTTGAAGGTAAGGAAACAACTGCATCCCTCTGGGAGAAAAAGACAGTACCAAGATAGCTGGAGTGTCCCAGTAAAAACAAAACAAAAAAAAAAAGACACCTCGTGTCCAACTTTGGGATGCAAAGTGAGCAGGTCGGTGCCAGTGCCTGTCAAGAGTCCCCCGGCAAGGTGAGGGACACAAAATGCCACCAGCTGGGGCACAGGGACACTGCCAGGGCCAGGGGAGGCGGGGAGGAGCGCTAAGGCTCACTGAGCATAAACAATCACATCTGGAACAGCTGTTCCTTTACAGCCTCATAAATTAGTGAGCCCATCGAAAACAGGAGCCTCAAGGACATGCGAAAACCCTGCCATGCAAACCATGTTAATTATGCCAACAGGCAGATTTTAATAATCCAGTTCCCGGCTCCCACATACGCACCTGTACAACACACATATTCCCAAGGCCGGGAGAGCTCAAAAATACCTGCCAGCCGTGTCATCTAAAGCCCAGTGGCACAAAAACCATGCTGGAGGGTTTGTCACACCCTGTATCCCTTTGAATTTCTCTAGTTAAGGAAAAAAAACAACACTCAAACAACAGATGAAAGGAGACCCCTCCTCTGTAAAGCCCACTCGAGTCACGGCAACGGAACAGATGGCGCAGGCGGTGGCAGTGGTGAAGGAGGCAGGGGGGCAAGAGGAGGGAGAGGAAGGAACGGTAAATCAGCTTCTCCTGACGACGGGACCGGGGAGCTCCCGGATCCCTGGCTGCGCCGTTCTGGCAGTTGACGCTGCTCTTCCTCCGATGCCCCGGCAGAGAGTCAGACGGCGCCGCCGTCCGCTCACACATCCGCCAGCCCAGCCCGCTGGAAGCGCATCCGTGCTGGACGCTGGAGCGCGGAAGGCGAGGAGGGGGAGCCTGCCGGATCCGCTAAGACCGGAGCTCCCGGTCGGGTTTCATGCTGAAGGGCTCCAGCCTCTCGCTCTCCGGCAGCATGCTGTTCAGCCGCTCCATCAGCGGGACCGTCTGGTCGATGCCCATCTGTATACGGCGGAGGATGGCAGACATCTCGTTGACCTTCTGGATCTGCTCCGCGTACTTGGCGTACTTCTTCTGGCGCTCCTGCATGAAGCCGTAAAGAGTTTCCACCGAGAGGTCCATCTGTTTGAAAACAACAAGCAGAGCGAGGCGCGTTAGCCCAGCTGTTGGCACAAGGCCTTTCGGCACGCTGTCTTTCCTAAAAGCCACGTTTAAAGCCACCGGAGCCTCTCTGCAGACACGCAACCGGCGCGCCGTGACGCGGGACGACGCGTCGCTGTACGCCAGGGAGGACCTATCGCCACCTCGCTTCCACGCCCCAGCACTTGAATATCAGATCAGAAAACCCGTCACTTAGAGGCGCTGCCAGGGATCGCCCAGTACGCCACGCCCATACCC